AGGGCGCGACTTCGTAGGGCTGTGGTGGCGAAGGGGGGTTCGGGAGTTTGTAACCCCAAAGAGGCGGATGGTTCTCACCTGGAGAGAATCAATCAGGATGATGTCGCTTTCGATGGAAAGACTCAACTTACTCGGTCGCCATCTCTTGGCATTCCAGACGAATTTTTCGGGTCCACTGTCTGCGTATCTGAAATCGACCAGCCTGGCACACAGCCGGTGCTCGCAGTTGTTTTTTACGTATTCGGCCAAAACGTCGTCGCTCTGGATACTGTGACCCACGTAGTTACACAAATTGGCGTAGTTCCGATTTTTGTGGCCAAAATCGATCACATCTGGGTGATGTCAGTTGACCATCCAGAGACAGCTTGTAACTCCTGGCATACCTGTCACATCGTAAATCAAGCCATCTACAGCAACATAAGCCAGGCGGTCCTTCAGCCCGTCGAAGTCTCTCATCTCCGTGATTGACATGTTGCGAAGCTCAGTCTTTTTAGGGTCGGTCATGGCCACGATGAAGCCCTTCATACGCGCAAACGTCGTCAGAGGACCCTCGTCGTCGTCCTCGGCCGCAAGCGCTTGGGTGGCGTCTTTGCCCAGGTAGGGCCTGAGTGCTTCGACCAGGCGGTAGTTCTCTGCCGAGTCGATGAGAGCTGACAGGAACAAAGTGTTAGTTGATGAATCTCATCGCATTGATGATGGGGCTGCTCACCTCGGACTGAATAGATCTCATTGCGGAGCAGGATCTCGTCATGGTGCACAACCTCTGGCGACGGCAGTCCGTCAAGCAGGACTGTCTCGGACCGGTTCTCGACCATCCTTCCAATGTGCACGGCTTGCAATGATTCTATCAATTCGTCCTTGGATTTGGGGTGATATTTGTTGAATAGCTCGGTAATGTCTCTTCCCCCGTTCTCGACTAAGAGCCTTTCGCCCCCGGGGTGGAGCATAACGTAGTCTGAGTTTCGCAATTATCAGTATTTTGATCCTACCAGATGAAGAGTGGCGGTCTCACTTGTGATGTCGTACACCTTGTCCTGGATGGCAACATACATGCTGCAATCCACAAACTCATAGCGACGCAACGTCTTTTCCGTGAACGTCCTCTCATGATGCCTGTGGGTGGCTCTGGGCACCTTGGAATTCAGATATCCAATGCGACATCGAGAGATCTGGTCGCTGACAGCTCGGGGGAAGACGCCAGCCTGCAATAGCTTCTGGGAAGGGTTGCCACCCGGCGTCGACCTGAGGATTTCCAGGACATTAACGCGCTTGTCGGGGCCACCATTGTCCAGGTAATCAACATCTTTCAAAACGTCAGCATCAGAAACCCACGAAATGAATGGTTCACACGCACCAGTGAGGTCAAAAATGCTATCTGCGATCCGGACGCAAAAGGGGTAGCCGTTCGTCCCATCGCAGAGGGCGATCTCGTCCTCTCTCCAGAGTCTCATCGCCCTTCCCAGTGGCACAAGGTTGGGAGCAGCCTGTCTTAGTAGTTTCACAGCTTCGGGCTTCAGCTGTTGGCCATTGTACTCCTTTGACGTGATGGTGTTCAGTTGTTCCTCAGTGATGTTGCCCAGGAGTTCCTTGACATCCGAAACGAGGAAGATGTTCAGGTGAATCCCTTCTTCAGCAATGAGCACAGGCTTCCCCTCTTCCACCGCTTGGTCGTATATCTGGCTTGTGGTAAAGTACTTGAAGTCGCCTTTTCCGGGACGCTGATCAACCGGAACAACGTCACCCGCGATACCCACGCATCCGATGGCCCAGGTCGGTTCAATTTCGATGTGGCCGGGGTCCTTCACCGGCTCCCCGTTGAATCGCAAAACAGCTTCTTCTCCGAACGCCGGGCTCATGGCGTCCCATCCATCCTTGAGTACCTCCTTGAACTTCTCCAACCCAGTTGCTCGCCCATTCTCCCATACACCAGCGTACTCCGGCATGCGGAAGTTGAAGTCAAGCCATGATCTGTAATCATTGCCCAAGTCCGCCTTCAGCTGGGCCGTCATATCGTTTACAGTGGTAAAAAAAGCGCCTCGCAGCCCCAGAGGCAGGTCGCAGACTGCCTCGAACGCATCCCAGCAGCTCACAGCCAGCTCGATCAAGTCGCGGCGCAGGTTCAGCCTGTTCTTAGGCGGGTCCGGGGCGTGATGCCTCTTATCCATCCGGAAGCCGTCGTACTTGTGTCGGTTCCTGTACAAATACCTCATCGCCGCGGACAGGTCCGACCGCTCGGCGCTGTTCAGCGCTGTCGCGACGCTGGCCTTAATCTTCCACGGGTTGGGGTTGCTGTAATGCGAGGGCTCCCTCTCCGGCACCACCTCCCCGTCGTGCGCGGGCAGAGAGGCGGCCATGAGGATGCCGATAGCGCGGAAGAACCACGCCTGCACGGCGCATTCCTTGTTGACGTGCTCGAAGCCGGGCGGGATCTGCATACTCACCCTGCCGTCGGGGAACTTGACGCCGATCACGAGCGGGTGGATGAGTCTGACGATCATGCTCTGCAGGTACAACTGGTCGACGAGGCCCCTGCGGACGAAATGTATGGTGAGCGCGACGTTCAGCTCGCGGCGGAAGTCGGTCCAGCTCCAGGGCGTCATCTGCCACATCGCGAACGTGTCCGGGAACCACGGCCTCCTTGTCTGGTATGCCCGACGACGCGAGGTGAGCCGCCGCGCCAGAGTGCCCAGCGACTTGCGATGCCACTCAGGCGGGATATAGCCCATCACCCACCTCGCCTGCGATGGCACGGGGCCGCCGGCGGATTTGAACGGGGCATCTTCGATGGTGACGTCAACAAGAGGCTTGGGCATCTTGAGGGCGCCGGGCCCGTATTTGGGCACGATCTTGTTCCAGAAGTCGCCCGAGCGGAACGAGGTGGCCCAGAGGGCCGGGGCTGGCCAGGTTGTGCGGTACGAGGGAATGCAGAGGGCGACGCCGTACGTCTCGTGCCAGGTGTGGCTGTTGATGTTCGGCCATACGGCGAGGCCGGCGATGATGCCTGCTGCGTTGGAGTTCCTGTAATGGGATCCGGTTTCGAGGGATTCGATACCGAAGAGAGAGCCTCCTAAAGTTGACCCCTCCCAGGAGTGGCCCATCTCGGGGTAATATTCCCTGGCTCCGAACTGGGACGTGTCAGTACCGAGGTATGCGGAATCTGGACATGGTTGATGTTACGATTTCATGTTTTGCGTGCCCGCCTAAGGTGAGCGTTGGTTGCGTCAATCCGGGATTAGGTCTGCTTCGGATCTCTAAGTTCACCGCGTGCTTGAAAAATATTAGTTGGGCTACCAAGTTCAAATCCCATTACTCACCATGAGTTCGTGTACAATCTTTCCAATAAGGTTAGCACGACTCAGCAATACGCATCTTTCATCTCGGGAGACATACGGTAAGGGCCTGAAGGTGCAAGGCCAATCTCTTCGACACCGCTGTAGCGGACGGGTCAAGCATCGTCTGCAAATACACGATATCCAAGGTGATCGGCGACAGCCTGCGATGCGCATTGTAGGTTTGATGGGTCGTCCCAACTTCGGCCGAGCCATTATCTGAGGCGACAAAGTTGGTAGAATGATCTTTGAAAGCCCATAGAACGGCCGTGTAGAACTCTGGGTCCTCGAAGAAGTCGAGCACTGCTTGCGTGGTTGTCATGAATGAGGTGTCGTTCTTGACGCGCCAGATTTGCTCCCAATTCTTAGAGCCGTACGGCACTTCGACTTTGACCGATTCGAGGCCGTCTTTGGATAGTAGCATGCGCAACCTGCGTCACGAGGATGTTAACTCCCGACCAGATTCGTCTCCAACGGTGCTGCACTCACCACGGCTCCGTCGCAGACACCCGCAAGATATTATCCGCCAGCTGAATACACTTCGACAGCTCCTTCCACAGAAACGGGTCATCCACCGTCCATTTCCTACCCGCATTCCCGGTCCAGTGCTGCTGCTGCACAAAGTCGATCCTCCAGCGGTACTTCTGCCACACGCGCAGCCACGAATCCTCAACCACGCACAGGTCGTTGGCCGTGGTGTGGTCGCTCTCGTCGTAGGCCGTGTAATCCTCGGCGCTGGCCAGAATCGCGGCCTCCCACGTCGTCAGGCCGTACATGAAGTGCTTCTGCAGACGCTCCGAGAGGTAGAGGTCGTCGAGCTCGGCCGGCGACGGCTTCGGGAGCGCATTGGTGCTGGGCGGGTCGAGCCGCAGCGTGAGGGGATCCATGGAGGGGAACATGGGGTCCAGCCATGATAGCCTGTCGTTATTGAGCTGCGGGAGGGTGCCCGTGACATAGTGCTTCTTCCATGGGTCGACGCGGTTGTCGCTCATGTTGGCATCTGATGGTTGCAGGAGTCGAAGGACATGCGAAAGGAACAAGATCGAGAGCTGCGGACGGTCGAAAACACGTCGCAATACACTGAAGGAAAAGAAACTGCAGAATCAAGGTTTGGAAGAGAAAGAGATCGAACCAAAGGTTGATGGCCGGGCATCACGCCCCCTTTCAACTCCCAGACGAGGTTGAAGAAGTCCAGAGCAGCTATGACATTGACACAATCGCCCTTTGTGACCTGTTTCAATGGACTTCGAAAAATAGCTTTCAATCGAACGAAACCGGCGAAAAAGCACAGACAGAACAAGAGGTATTCAGGGGTTTCTTTGGGACCTTGAAATATCAATGCTGGGGAATATGGCAGGGAGACGGATGACAAAGGAAACGAGGGCGAGGCCGAGAAACAATGGGCACAACATCCCTTTCCAGGTATTAACCGAGGCAAAGTTTCTGGTGATGAATATGATAATGTCAGACTTGAATGAAAAGTTTCTGCCAGTTTCTTTTTTGTCTTGATCATCAATGTTGGAGTCATCGACAAAATTGACTGCAGCATGGCATCGCAGTTCCCGCCCAACCTTCATCATTCTCTGAAAACCATGTCGTCGCCATGAACCGGATATCTCAAGCATCACCATCAGTCTCAAGCACCTCTTCCATCCTCTTCATCCACCCGCAATGGACGACACAGAACTCCCATTCACAATCCCAACCCATCCCCCCTTATCCCCAGCCGCAACCTCCCTCCTCCCAACCCCCATCCCCCTCCCCTGCCCTCCCCCGCCCGCCCTCGACACCCTTTTCCACGCCGAACACGGCCAGCTCTTCAACCTCAGCGGCCTACGCACCTCCGAGTCCCTCATCCTCCAGGCCCTCGACCCTTACTCCCCATCCACTCCCCCCAACAACGGCTTCATACACGTCAACGAAGCAAAATGGCACAGCGTCTTCCACCGCAGCAGGTGGGCCAGCTCCGCCTGCCACATCGCCAACGCGCCGCTGCACATCGACGACGACGCCGCGTGGAGCCGCATCGCCCCCGGGATAGAGCTCGCGGACAGGATGCTGGAACAGGCGCTCTCGCACCACTGGCTGCTCGCGATGCTGAGCGCGGCGGGGCGTGAGGCGGTGCATGGGGTCTCGGTGACGGTTGATGGGCGGAGGTACGCCAACGCGACGATCTACCGCGCGGTTCCTGGTCCGGTTACACATGAAGCGCGCGCGCAGGCGCTGAAGGTGCTGGATGAGATTGCGGGGAGTGTGTTTTGGGGGTTTCATCATGGGGACGAGGCGCCGGGGCTTTTGGGCAAGACGGACACGATTGTGAGTGAGGAAAGGGGGTATCATTGGTGCACGGTGGAGTTGAAGCTGGCTGAGAGGATGTGTGAAGGGAGTGAGGGGGAGAGGAGGGTTGCCGGTGTTGAGGTTGCTGTTGTTGTAGGTAATCCATCCCCAATTAGTACCGTTCGTAATCTAATGTGATCTTTGATTCTAGATGTTGCACGAACTCATGGTTTGCATCTCAACCTCCATATCTGAACCTGACCTGTTAACCCATCTGTAGCACGCTATATCAAGACACATCCTTACCTCCATCAAAGCCGCAAACCCAGCTCACAACTGCCCCTCCTTCGAACTCGTGAGTCGCCTCCCCCTTCCCATCCTCCCGCAAGCTAACCACCCCCCTCCCCCAGTTCTTCAACAACGAACGCTGGGCCGAAGCAGGCTACTCCTTCGAAACCGCCTTCCTCGGCACCGTCCTCCGCAACACCTGGCCCAACCCGCGCTCCCGCCGCAAAGCCTACCACGCCCTCCGCGCCCCGCGCCCGGAAACCGCCGCCGCGGGGCAGTTCCAGTACTACGGCGGCTGGGCGCCCTCCGACCCGTTCATCGAGGAGCGGGCGGGCGTGCCGGGGCGGGTGCTGTGGGCAATGACCCGCGAGGACTTCTGGGGGGTGAGGGTGCGCAGGTTTGGGGCGGAGGGGGTCAGGGTTCAGACGGGGGGTGTGAGTGTTGCGAGGGCGGAGTACTCGAAGGCGAGGGGGTATACGGTGCACCGGGCGGGTGTGCTTGATGATGCTGGCGGGTTTGGGGGACGGATTAGGGAGCGGAGGGGGAGGTTGAAGATGTTGAGGCCGTGGTATGCGGACGAGTATGCGAAGTGGAGCGAGACGCCGTTTGCGGAGTTTCAGATGCGTAGCTGGGTGCCGGGGATCAAAGGTGTTCGTAGGAGCGTCAAGTGCGAAGCTGGTGTTGTCGCTGCCGCGAAGAAGATGATTGGGCCGTTTGGTGTCGAGGAGCAAGTCTGCGGGACGCGGATCGAGGGGGAGAGGAGCGGACGGGGCTTCTGGAGGGCTGTTGGGTTTCTGGCAATGGCTGCGGTGCCGGTGAGGCGGGGCGCGGAAACATGGGAGGACGAGAGCGTGCCGGCGTATCCGGAGGTTCTTATCCATGGATCGCGGTTTGCGGCGCCACGGGAGTTACTGGAGGAGGTCATCCGGCGCGGGAAGGGGAAGAAGGAGAGGGAGAGGTGGAAGGTGGTTGGAAGGGCTGGGGGGAGGAGTCATGATCGGGAGATGTGCTTTGATAATGCGAGGGTTGCGTTTTTGAGATGGAAATGGGGCGGCGTTGTGTCTGGGGAACTTGTGATGGAGTTCGAAGCTGCGATGAGGGATGTGAGAGTGAAGATGGACCAGTTCCCCTTGGATGATGTTTGGTTGGATTTCGGGTTCCGGATGCCAGAGTACAGCGGGGAGGTGTGCTTCCCCGTGGGATATGAGGACGACAGGTTTGATGATGAAGATGCAGACTTGCCTAGCTGGGCCATTGCAAGGTCTGGGATTGCCGGGGAGGAGGTCACCGGCACTGTCATCAAGCACTACTCCCCTGGTGAGATTGGAGACCTCCAATCGTTGGGAGCAGGGCAAAAGGTCGTCTTATGGCAGGAAGAAAACGAAACAGAGGTGCAGGTCTACGATGTCATCGAGATCTTTCCCAACGGCTGGGACTCAGATGCCAGGAACAACTTCACTGCTCCCGGTCCACGAGGACGCATGCTCTCTCCAAACCTCGAAGCGGACATCCTCTCCCAAGTCCTCAGCCAACAACCACTCGGCCAGGCAATGCTCTGGCGCCAAGAAGAAGACGTCTGCATCAACGACGGCAACGAGGGCAGACCGAACTGGATTGCCCTCGGAGCCGAAGTCTTCGACATCACAAGTAAGTCTCCCCTCGCTTGCCCTTTCTCATGGCCCCTCGACTTACGTACAACGCAGACATGCAACTCTCCCCAGCCCTCCACACCCTCCAACACATCCTCTACCGCAACCGAAACCCCGTCGCGGCAATCGACGCCGGCTTCCACCCAGACCTGATCCGCGCCAACCTCCTTCCGTACAAGATCGGCTGGCTGCGCGACGAGATGTCCCGCCCGCGGCGGCGAGACCGCGTGTTCACGGCTAACGAGGTGAAGTGGTTCGCGTTCCGCGAGACGGGGATGTATGCTGTCATTAACGGCAGCGTATACGATTTCACAGGTAATGTTATCAAAGTATGTGGACTACGAAGCTTGGCTCAATTGAATCTTGGATAGGATACTGCGACATGCACCCCGGCGGCGCGTCCCTCATCTCCCATCTCGCTGGCCAAGACGCCACTGAGGCATGGAGGCAGGCCCACGGGCAGGGCGGATCTGTCTCCGGGCTGGGTGTACACGCCGCGCTGGAGGAGTTGCGGATCGGACGCGTCGTGCCGGAGCAGTCTTCAACGCAACCGCTCTCGTCCTCGCAGATCCGGATTCGGGACTGTGTTTTCGGGCGGGGGAGTGAGTTCTATCATAACCTTTGCGTTGATCGAATGCTAACTACAATGTGCAGACATCAAGCCCGAGCAGACCCAGGCACTCAGCGACCTGGAGCCATACTGGGGCACAGATTGCACTTCCCACCTCGAGGCACAGAGTCCGCACTGGGTGCTGACCAAGCTATACGACACGCGCAACTTCATCGTCGCTAAGATCGCACCAAACCCCGAAGAGTTCCCCATGACGCAGGACACATTGCGGGAGTTCGACGGCAAAGAGACAGATCTAGGTTTCCGCGAGACGTATATCTCTGACGGGACGTCCATCTACAACATGACTTGTACACATCCCCTAACCCACTCACGCCTTGAATCCCGTCACTGACATACCACAGCGTTCATCAAATACACCTCCCCATCGCCCCTCACCGCATCCCTCCTTAGCCGCGCCGGAACAGCCCTGACCTTGTCCCCCGAGGACACCGAGTTGCGAACATGGCTACAAACCTCCTGCCGCCACCGTATCATCGCATACCACGACCACCGACAATCCAACCCGGGAACCAGCCAGCCCCGCTGGAAAACCGACGTCCAACGCGTCCCCCGTGCTCCAGCTCCCGGCCAATTCCCCAAAGTCATCAAAGCCGCTAGGGTCGAGATGAACTGGGCGAAAGTACTGCAGGGCGACGCGGCTTCTCCCGGTCCGAAGAGCGACGTGAGACCGACGCAGGCGCCTACAAAGACGCGGGCGCGAGGAGGTAAGGAAGGGGGTCTCGGCGCCGGGGGGCGTGCGGGTGCGAAGGACAGAGGTGAGGTGATCGTGCTTCCTTTGGTGAATGAGAACCCACGACCGCCGGATAGGGACGTTGTCATGGAGGACGTACAACCTGACGGATGGACCGTCGCTGGGAAAAAGGGCCGCCGACGGACTCGGAAAAGACGCTGAAACCATTGTTCTTTGGGCGTTGCACAATGTTTGCTTTTCAGAAACGAAGACGCAGATGGCAATGTATGTGAGCATACAAGCCTAACCTAAGACAATGTGAAGCGACGTTGACTCGGCCAAATGCAACCAGGGGAACTCGAATGCAAGCACATAAATAGCCACCGCAGGCAGAGGAATGACAATGAGAAACACGCCGAGGAACAATCACTGTCGAGGGCCGCATGGTAAAGGGAGGACGGGGACTGTCCTCGCGCTTGCGGTACACCAAACCTGAGGCATCAACAGAGAATCCATACACCAGAGACAGCGTCACCAGCACATCACTTCGAAGAACCATTATGAAATGTCTATGGCATGTATTGCCGTCTATTTACTCTTTCTACCTCTTATTCTACCCCACATTCCCTGTCGCCAGGAACCTCTCTCCTCGCCTGCAGGATCCTCCAATCCTGGAGCGAGATGGTCATTCCTTCATCCGGCGATTCATGTCAAAGGGGAATCTCATGGGTGCTCGTCAAAGAAATCATAAACAGGCCCGTAACCATGCAACCCGCGTTACCGAAAAGACTTTTGGAAGGCTCGTGACAAATGGAAAGGAAAGCGACCGTGACGAGTTGGTTTAGATGTCGTCCTCGTCGGAGAAGACCTCCTCACCACGCTTGCGGCGGGCCATACGCTCTGCCATATAGTTAGCTTCTGAAGTCATGAGTCAAGTAATGGCTGGGATGAACATACCCTTCTTCTTCTTACGGGCCTCGGAAGAGGTCAACTTCACCTTCTTCTTGGTGTTGACAATCTTGTTACCCATAGCGTCGAACTTCTCCTCCTCATCACCGTCGTCAGCCTTGAGACGGGGACCGCCACCCTGGCCCTGGACCCAGTTGTGGCCGGAAGGAGTCATCTTGCCGTCCATGACAGCCCAGACCTCCTCAGTCAAGTCCTTGGTGAACTCGGCAGAGTGAGTGATGATGATGACACCACCCTCGAAGGCCTTGAGGGCCTTGGACAGGGCACCGAGAGAGTCACGGTCCAAGTAGTTGGTAGGCTCGTCAAGAACGATCAAGTGGGGACGCTGCCAAGAGCAAGCGGCAAGGACGACCTTGACACGCTGGCCACCAGACAGACCACGCATGCGAGAGTGGGAAACCAGCTCAGCATCGAGACCGAAGTTGGCGCAGTGAGACTCAATCTCCTTACGGACCAGGGGACGGAACTGACCGGAGGCGAGGGCCTCCTTCATATCGACATCGGCAACCATCTTCTGGTGAGAAGCCAGAAGCTCGGAACGGGGCAGCCAGGCGTTGTCAGCGGACATCATGGGAGTCCAGCGCTCGTTCTTCTGGCCGACGTTGTCACCAATGGCGAAAGAGCACTCGTACTCGTAGGAGTTCTTGAACTTTCTGCGAGAGTTGATGCCGATAATGCGACGCTGGGTACCCTCGATCTTGAAGATCTTGTTCATGGCCTCCTCATCGGCCTCGGTGATGACCTTGTTGGCACGATCCATGGTCTCACGATCCTCACCAGTCTGGAAACGCCACTGGATGTACTCAGAGGGAGTGGAGTCGAGGTGGTTATCGATGTGAGCGAAAGCGTGCTGCTTGATGTAGGCGATACGGATGTTCTCGTGCTGGTAGATCTCACCCTCGGTAGGGATAAGCTCACCAGTGAGGACGTTGATGAGGGTGGACTTGCCAGCACCGTTGGGGCCAATGACGGCAATACGGGAACCGAGAGAGCACTGGAAGGTGATGTCGGAGATCTGGGGCTTGCTGGTACCGGGGTACTGGAAGGACATCTTGCTGGCACGGAGAATGGCCTTGGCCTTGGTCTTGACACCCTCGAGGAAACCGGGCTCGGGGAAGCGGAACTCCATCTCGGAGGCACCGAGCTCGTAGTAGGACTTGGCCTGGGGGTTCTTCTTGACGAACTCGGACAGGTTACCACGGTAGCGCTTGAGCTTGAAGCGCTCGTAGTGGATGATGTGCTGGCAGACGTTGTCGAGGAAGCCGGAGTCGTGGGAGACGATGATGGAAGTGCAGGGGGAGGTGCAGAGGTACTCCTCGAGCCACTTGACGTTCTTCACGTCCAAGTGGTTGGTAGGCTCGTCGAGAAGCAGGATATCAGGGGCCTCGAAGACGGCACGGCACAGAGCGAGCTTCATCTTCCAACCACCAGAGAGGGCAGAGATCTCACCCTTAACCATGGTGTCGGTGAAGCCGAACTCGTTCAGCTTGGCCTCGACCTCGGCCTGGGCGGTCTCGACGCCGGCAGCCTTGAGCTTCATCATGGTCCAGTCGATGGTGGTCATCTCAGTGTCGGCAGAGTCAAGGTCGTGCTCAACGAAGACGGTCTTGACCTCAGACTGCTTGGGGAAGCCCTCGACCTGCTCGTTGTTGATGGCACGCATGAGAGTAGACTTGCCGGAACCGTTGGGACCGCAAAGACCGTAGCGCTGGCCACGCTTGAGACGGAGGTGGGTCTGGTTAAGCAAAATCTTGGCACCGTAGGCGAGGGAGAAGGTGCAGTTGCAAAGGTCCTCACCCTCCTCGTCGTCGGCATCACCCTCGGCCTCCTCGGCAGCGCCGGGGGAAGCCTTCTTGCGGAGGTCGTCAGTGACCTTCTGGGCATCCTCGTCGCCAACAATGACGGCGATGTAAGGCTTGAGGGCCTCGGCCCAGACCTGGGACTCCTGCTCCTTCTCGTCGATGAGCTGGCCGGCAATGGCGGCAGCGTACTCAAGGACGATCTCGAGCTTCTCAGCCTTGGCCTTGTGCTTGGCGGGGATGACCTCCCTGAGCTTGGGGAGGACGACCTTGACGTCAGAGTCGCGCTTGACCTCGGGGATCTTGCCGTCAACGACGTTACCGACACGGATGAGGGTGTCGAGGGCCTGACGAGTCTTCTCACGGGCCTCGGGGTCGGCCAAGTTGTCGTGGTTCTTCTCAAGACCGGGCATCATCTTGGGCAAGAAAGGAGCAACGATGTTGGGGTCGTCGACGAGCTTGCACATGTTGTCGACAATGACGGCAGACTTACGCTTGATGGCAGTCTCACGCTCAGCGAGACCACGGTCAAGGAGGGGAACCATGAGGGCAAGAGTGGGCTCCTGGACCTCAGTGACGAAGGTGGTGGCACCGAGCAAGTGAACGGTCTCGGGGACGTTCTCGGGCTTGGCGATACACTTGATAAGCTCGGGGATGAAGCGCTCGATATCCTTGTTGACGATGAGCTGGCAGATGAGCTCCATGGTCTTATAGGCACGCTCCTTGACCTCCTTCTTGGTGTCCCACATGGACTCGGAGACGACGGGGATAAGGTCGGGGACGCGGAAAGCGACCTGGGCGGGGGCGGTGCGGACGACGGTCTCGAGGACGTCGAGGGCAGCCATCTTCTCCTGCCACTTCTGGGCGGTCAGGAGAGAGTTGCAGACGGGGTCGAAGACACCCTTGACGGCGTTGGGGTTGATGGCCTCGGCGATGGCCAGGGCAGCAGCCTGGGCGGCATTCTTGACACCGGTGATCTTGTCACCAACGGCGGCGAGGACGTTGGGAAGGAGGGCGACAAGGAAGGGCTCGACGTGGGCGGAGACCTCGGAGTGCTGGGCAATGGCGGCGATGGCCAGGGCAGCCTTCTCACGGGCAGCGGCATCCTTCTTGTTGTTGAACAGCTTGCGGATGGCCTCGATGCTCCTGCGGGGTAATCCATGTCAGTTCTGATGCTCCAGAAAAATTTTGTGTGTGCACCGAAAATAGCTCGCCGCTGAGTGGCCAGGGGGACAGCCAACTTGCAGATGCTGGCGGGTCGGTGCAAAGGCCGCCCGAGACGAGGCGAAAAATAAGCACGCAGGAAAAAAAAATCTGAAAAAGTTGGAGAAGGGTCCCAAGGCCGCGGACACGGTGGCTTGGGTCGCATCTGCCATACTCTTTTCCGACTCTTCTCGTGCCGTCGCCTCATCGCCGTGGAGTGTAGGGGACGGAAGCGGGAATCAATGGGCAGAAAAACTCACTTGGTGGGAACTTCCTGGTCCTCGATGCGGCCGTTCATGAAGGAAGCCAGGGCGCTGGCAGACTCCTTGACGTCGGCAGCCTCCTTGGAGACGGTGAGCTTCTGGAAGAGCTCGTCAAGAACCTTGACGGACTGGGCGTTCTCGGAAGACATTATGGCGGTTGTTGGGGGGTATTAATCTCGATCGGGGTGATGTCGAAATTTGGCGTGAAAGAATCGCAGATCCGAACGTCTAAAGCGTCTAGATGCGAAGTCTATGCTCTATCGTAAAACCGAAAGGCGAGTTCTGGGTATTGGGAAGGCCCGCGAGAAGAGACGACGACTGGAGGATCGTCGAGAACTTCTGCTCTAGGTGGCGCTTCGGTCGCTGTTGTTTCTTCTTGCGAAGGCGGGGGTTGATCAGGGCAGCAAAGCTCTTGACAACCGTCGCAGACAGTGACGATGTTTTGTGGAAAAGAAAGTCAAAAGGACTGAGTGGAGATACGTCTGGAGGAAGACGAACAATCCAGGAGAGGAAGAAAAGGGAACGGAGGTAGAGAGAGGTTCGAGAGAGGAAGAGGAGGGAAAAATGTTCGGGAGGGGGGGAGAAGATGGCGGGGGGACGAGTTTTTTTTATCTGCAATCGCTTTTCTGGCTTGTGTTATCGCTCTTGCCCCCTCCTCCCCCCTCCATTCCCACTGAACGAGGGCCACTCGAGGCCACTCAGGCGGGCCCATGGGTGTCCCCTCGCAGGTGTGGCAGATCCAGCGTCGCCTTAGTTGGCTTGGGCTGGTCTGGTCTGGCTGCCTCAGTGCCTGCCACATTCACTCGCCGCCTTCCCACCAAAAAAGTTTTTTGTTTTATTTTTCCCGTGCGACCTGAGGCCACTGCCTTGGTCCTTCCGCCTGCTGGTGCACCCTTTCTCAGAGTCCTGGCCCGGCGACGGCGACGCTAGCGGCAAGGGTAGCCCCACACCTCAGAAAAATCAGAAACTGCGGAAACCAGGAGCGGTG